CCGGGCCTGCCGAATTTTCCTTGCGGCGCTTTCCCAAAATGGCAAAAACGGGGTAGCGGGCCACTGCCTTGAATCACTAGTCTAGACTCGTACTGGCCACCTGAATGTATCTCAAATTAACAAAGTGATATTAGCCCACCATTATATACACCCAAAATGTGAATCCAAAGTATTTCAGCCTTGTAAGTATTTGTCTTGAAGCCAAGGCTGAAGGTTGAAATCGGAGTGTGGATTGAACGGAGCGCTCTATGAAGCACAGACAGAATTTTTGCCGGAAAAGAGGGTACATATGACTACATGCCATGTAATGAAATATAATAATCGGCATAGTACGGCCTCCACACGCCAATAACCACTCCAAAGAAGCTCGTCTATGCGCGCTAATGAAATTCGTAGGTTTTGACATGTACCCCGTCGTGACCATGAAGTCGACCCGATGAAAACCCATCGGTGTGGAAGGGGAAATTACTGTATATTTAAAATACACTAAAAAAGTTCTAGGGCCATAGTGTCCACGGGTGGGCCACTACAGCGGTTGTCGCAGTGGACTACTGGAGATCAGATAGAGGTCTTTCGCGAGGTTCTAGGAGACGAGACAGAACAGTGATGATGTATACGATGGTCGTATGCCATTCCCCCACATCAGGCGATGAGAACGAGCCCCAGATCTTGTGAATCGGTGAAGAATCGGTGGAGAAACAGTTAAGAAAGAATGTGAAGCGGTGTTCGGAAATAAGAAATGATGTTCACAAGCCGACATCACCCATCAAAACCTCGCACTGCTTTTGATCGCCGCCGTAACTTGCCTCCAAATTTGACGTGCAGAGTCCTCATAGGTCGCGTACCATGCCACAGGTCCCAAATATGAACATTATACATTGTACCCCGCTGTATTATGCAAATGGCCCACTAGCTAGACTGGCCCACTAGGCAGTCGCTGATAATATCTAGTCACTCAACGTGCTCGAAAGCAGTGGATTCCGCCACAAATTTCGTTTCGTGGAGGCAAGCGGAGGCGCTCCGAGTCGACGTTCCAAGTCGGAAAGTCCGAGACAAAGTTAGATAGGAAGGGCAGGTATATATCGCCGGGGATCGGGACGGCCATAGCCTAGAAAAATGGGATATGCACACGAGGTGGAGTCAGTGTGTAAACTAAGAGAATTTGTGAGAGCGAATTGCAGCAAGGCTTAGCCACCTAATAGGTTCCAAAACGGGTTCAGTGCATATGACTGTCGATGTTTCTTTCTGGAAATGACGCACCCTGAGATGAGAACAGATTGGTATCCATTAGAAAGGATACAAGAATGCTATCGGACGGGCTCTGCTAGAGTTTGTAAGGCATGATCGCAGGTCTGCGAGAACAGGAAGTTCTTTTGAGAATATGAATGTGGGAGCCATGAGCTGAGAAGCGGAGTTTTTTTAAGCAGACTTCTTTTCCATTGGATTTTGGACCCTATGATTCACGCGGACCTGGAGTAGTACAGAGCCTGAGCCTGAGGCATGACCGACTTGCAGTGGTTTCGAAAGCTGAGCATCTGGACATCGTTCAACCCAGCGTCCACTGGGAAAGTTTTTTATGGTGAGGCGTGCCTGGATCTTGTCGAATCGCGGGCCCGTCCGCATTCATAGACGAAATCAGGATCAAGACAGTGAGGGGAAGTTGAGGGGGAAAGAGATGCAAAGAGATGCAAGGCATGTGCCGATTGATCCGGAATTTGAACTCCGCCGCGGCTTGACGATTTGTTTCTCACTTTTTCACCGCCCTATTCTCCATGAGACTGGACCTTTCGGCAAGCCTTGGTTAAGTAAGCCAGCCCAACGCGCAAGCTAATCAATCCAAATGAATCTTCATGATCATTGCATCGCTGGATTGTCATTTGATGCGCGCCCCCCCAACGCCCGCCAGCAACCTGTCCTCAAGGCATCAAGCTTCAAGTTCAACATGGTTCCAAAACAAATTTTTGTTGCCCAACATCATGGCATTGTTACCCAATTTACGGAATGGACGGACGACAGGCGCGCTGCTATCCATGGCTTTCCGGCAGTTCCAAGGCGCCGGATCTATTTGTTCACTCACATTTGAGGCTGCAATTCGCGCGGAAAATGACTTGGTGTGCGCGAGTTTCTATCTGCGTGAAGTGGAAAGGCTGATGGGCTGATATGAGTTAACCCAGTTGAAATACAGCGCGACATTTGCGATGTAGCGAGGGGATGGCGCATGGCCTCGGTTTCGAAGATCCACGGCGCAGGTCATGTCGTGGGTCTGCACGGAATTATATTTGGCTCAATTGTCAATGTTTTTTCTTCTTTGTAGATCACTCACGTATGAGGTCGCGCGCGCCATTTGGACAGCGCTGATTCACGACTATCCACCGCGCCGGAAGTTGAATTCTAAACTTTTGGCAGTGCATAGCGAAAGAGGTAATAAGTACTCGGACAATGCGGGGGAACCAAAACCAAGCCATGATGTATTGTTATTCGGGGCACTTGGGCAGAGTGGAATTTGGACAACGGTCACAATTCTGAACCCTACGTTCTGCAGTTGTAAACCTTCAAACAATCAGTGAAAAATAAATAAAAAATAGAGACCCAAGAATTCGCAAAATCGTCTATGACCTGCAGAGTTACATGTTTGGGTCCGCAGAATCGCTTTGAGGTAAAACTGAACTAGGTTTTCAGCAATCTTCTCACGGTTGTGATGGAGATGTTTTCGAACCGTCAGCGTTGCAAAAACCGGGCCCAGAACCATACTATCTCAAGTAGTACTAGTATCCGACTTTTAGAATGCATAACACTGTAAGAAGAAGAAAAAGATGGAGGGAAATTTAAAAAAATCAGAACTGCACCATGCATACCCTCGGTAAGAATCGAACCTACGATGTCTTCATACTAAAGAACTCCCCGGATCAAGAAGTGAAGATGCTCAACCATGATCCACGAGGGCATTACTTACCTTGGTGACTCGTGGATTATATCCCAGATGTTTGAGGGAAGCGAAGACGCACCAAAAAAAGAAAAAGAGTGTTACACCGTGAATGCCCTCGGTAGGAATTGAACCTACGGCGTCTTCGGAGATTTGATTACCTCTTCAATATTATGAGAAGATGATCAACTATGATCTACGAGGGCGATACTTCCCTTGTTGCATCGTGGATTATATGAAGGAGGTTTGAGGGAGGCCAGACAAAAAAAAATGTACGAGATTCAAAATGCCCTCGGTAGGAATTGAACCTACAACATCTTCACAAAGTCTGAAGCGGGGACAAATTATGGGATGAAGATGATCTACCGCGATCCACGAGGGCATTGTTTCTCTGGTTGCTTCATGGATTATATGCTGGTGACAGGTTTGAGGGAAGGGAAGACGTGCAAAAAAAATCTCTCTCTCTGACCATATACCCTTGGTAGGATTTGAACCTACGATGTCTTCATGATACTATTTGACACAACTCAACCACAATCCACAAGGGCATTTACTTCCCTGAGTGCATCGTGAATTATATACATGCAAGACGCGCCAAAAAAAAAGGCTCAGCAGAGGCGAAATGCCCTCGGAAGGAGTCGAACCTACATCTTCATGGAGACAAAGATCTACCGCGATCCACGAAGGCGGTAGTCTAGTTCATGGATTATATGCCAGTGATAGAGGTTTGAGGCAACACTGAAAACGTGCAAAAAAAACCGCATCAAGCGCGTATGCCCTCGGTAGGATTCGAACCTACGCTGTCTTCAAAATTGACGCCAGAATTTGTACAGAGTGAAGGTGATCTGCCATGATCCATAAGAGCAGGGCGCATCATGAGTTATATGCCTATGAGGGAGGTTTGAGGGAGGTTTGAGGGACCCAAAAAAAAGTACCAAATCAGAATGCCCTCGGTAGGAGTCGAACCCACGATGTCTTCATAAAGATCTGGAGAAACTGTGACTAGATGAAGGTGATCTACCACAATCCACGAGGGCGATACTTCCCTTGTTGCATCGTGGACTATATGCCAGTGCCTGAGGTTTGAGGGAAAGCAGGCACCTCCAAAAAATACTTCTCTACTTCCAATGCGTTATTCGAACACCCTCTGTGAGATTCAAATGAAGAGTATGCCAGTACGGTAACGGGTATTGAAGATAGGCCCAAAAAAAGTCGTTACCGAAGGAATGCCCTCGGTAGGATTCGAACCTACAATGTCTTCATAAAGATCTGAAGAAGCTAGGACTAGATGAAGATGATCTACCGCGATCCACAAGGGCATTACTTCCCTTGTTCCATCGTTGATTATATATATGCCAGCAATAGAGATTTGAGGGAAATGAACATGCCAAAAAAACATTGTTTCTTGCTTAATGCATTATTCGAACACCCTCCGTAAGATTCAAACCAAAAGTATGCCAGTAATGGAGGTTTATAATTCGAAGAACCGTGAAGACAGGCCAAAAAAAAAAAACAGAGTGCTACACCGTGAATGCCCTCGGTAGGAGTTGAACCTATGATGTCTTCATAACTCTCAGGAGGATCTACGACTAGATGAAGGTGATCAACCAAGATCCACGAGGGCATTACTTGCCCTAGTGCATTGTGGATTATATACCAGTAACAGAGGTTTGAGGCAACACTGAAGACATGCAAAAAAAAAAACGCATCAAGCTCAACGCCCTCGGAAGGAGTTGAACCTACAACATCTTCCGAGATTTGGTTACCTCTTCAATATTATGAGAAGATGATCAACCATGATCTACGAGGGCGATACTTCCCTGGGTACATCATGGATTATATGAAGGAGGTTTGAGGGAGGCCAAACCAAAAAAAATGTACGAGAATCAAAATGCCCTCGATAGGAATTGAACCTACAACATCTTCATAAAGTTGCAGCAAGGCCAATTATGGGACGAAGATGATCTACCGCGATCTACGAGGGCATTATTTCTCTGGTTGCTTCATGGATTATATGCTGGTGACAGGTTTGAGGGAAGGGAAGACGTGCAAAAAAAAATCTCTCTCTCTAACCATATACCCTTGGTAGGATTTGAACCTACGATGTCTTCATGATACTGTTTGACACAACTCAACCACAATCCACAAGGGCATTTACTTCCCTGAGTGCATCGTGAATTATATACATGCCAGTGACAGGTTTGAAGGAAACGAAGACGCGCCAAAAAACAACAAAAAAAAGGCTCAGCAGAGGCGAAATGTCCTCGGTAGGAGTCTACATCTTCATGGAGACAGCTGCACTAAATTATGAGACAAAGATCTACCGCGATCCACGAAGGCGGTACTTCCTTAGTCTAGTTCATGGATTGTATGCCAGTGATGGAGGTTTGAGACAACACTGAAGACGTGCAAAAAAAAACCGCATCAAGCGCGTATGCCCTCGGTAGAATTCGAACCTACACAGCATCTTCAAAGCCTTGCAAAAATCAAACAGAGTGAGTGAAGATGATCAACCAAGATCCACGAGGGCATTTCTTCTCTGAGTGCATTGTGGATTCATCTGCCAGTGACGGAGGTTAATCCATTATTCAAACACCCTCCGTAAGATTCAAACCAAAAGTATACCAGTAATGGGGGATTGAACTTTGTGGCAATGAAGACTTGCCCAAAAAAAAAAAAAAAAAAAGAATATAACAGCGGAATGCCCTCAGTAGGAGTCGAACCTACGAAATCTTCCGAGACTTTCAAAACCGTGCATCAGACAAAGACGATCAACCATGGTCCACGAGAGCATTACTTACCTCGTTACATCCTAGATTATATGACGGAGGTTTGAGGGAGGCCAAAAAAAAAAAGACAAATGACAAGGCCCTGTGCCCTCGGTAGGATTCGAACCTACGATGTCTTCATAAAGATCAGGAGTATCTACGACTAGGTGAAGATGATCTACCGCGATCCATGAGGGCAATATTCACCTGGGTCCATCATGGAATATATACCAGTAGCAGAGGTTTGAGGGAAATGAACCCGCCAAAAAAAAGATCATTGAAAAGATGTTATGCCCTCTAGAATTTGTACGGAGTGAAGACGATCAACCATGATCCACGAGGGCAATGCTTTTCTTGTTGCTTCATGGATTATATGAGGGAGGTTTGAGGGAAACGAAGACACACTTTAACAGGAAGAAAAAACCACAAATCGACAACCGGATGCCCTCGGTAGGAATCGAACCTACAACATGTCCCGAGATGTTATTCATCAACTATAGGATGAAGATGATCTACCATGATCCACGAGGGCATTTCTTCCCTGTGTGCATCGTGGATTACATGCCAGATGTTTGAGGAAGTGAAGACTCCCAAAAAAACAACCTTGTCAAATGTGTATGCTCTCGGTAGGATTTGAACCTACAACGTCTTCCAAACTCGTACGTACAGAGTGAAGGTGATCTACCACGATCCACGAGGCCGATACTGCCCTCGCTGGGTCGTGAGTTATAAATATGCAACGATGGAGGGTTAAGGGAAATGAAGGACCCCCAAAAAAATATTGATAGAAATTAACGGCACATGCCCTCGGTAGGATTCGAACCTACAACGTCTTCATAACACGTCTGACCATGGCCTACGAGATGAAGATCTACCGCTGATCTACGGGGGCGATGATCTACATGGTTCGATGTTGGGTTATGGTATGTAACATGTATCATGGTGTGGAAGTTGAGGATGGAAAATACTTTTTATAATCGGAGTGAACATCAACGAACTGTGCATGAGAGGAAGATGATCTACCGCGATCCACGAGGGCGATACTTCCCTTGTTGCATTGCGGATTATACATATGCAGTGATGGAGGGTTGAGGGAATGAAGACGCGCCAAAAACCCCCCAAAAAAACATCCTCTTCATTCATGGATGCCCTCGGTAGGATTCGAACCTACGACGTCTTCATGAAATCACACAGCATGGCTACTAGATGAAGATGATCTACCGCTGATCTGCGGGGGCGATGATTATTGGGTTCAAGGTTGGAATACGGTGGGATGTTTGGGTCGAGGAAAGTTGAATATATTTTGAATTTATGAGACGTTGAGCATAATTCACGAGCTGATTCCCAAGTAGATGGTATCAGAAGACCCTCGACGGAGAAATCCAACCGGAATCAATAAAAAGACTATATGACGGCCAGCCTGCGCGATAAGGCTCGGGGCCTGTAATACGCGCGTGGACCAACCCGACGCACGGTCTGTCGCGCCAAAGTTCAGGACCGTCACGCACAGGCAGAGTGATTGACAAGGCCAGGTACGGGATTGAAAGAATCTGAGAACCGCGATGAATACCCAGTGGCAAAGTCCGCGTCTAGGCCGCGCTGGATTGAATGTTGCCCTGAGAGTGACGTCGTGGGCTACGCGTTATATAGGATGGATGTCGTGCAGGATGATCTTGTTCTTGTTCTTGTTGTTCTGTTCGAGTCTGCGTTGAACGACCAGTTCAAAATGAAAAAGCAAGTCAACAAATGCAACTCGGGTGGTTGGCGCAGATTAGCTTTTGGATGCGTCTTTCTTCAAGAAAGCGGCGTGCGATAACTTGTCTTTGATCGATGACGTTTGGAGTGGAGCAGGACTCCTTACTCGATGCAGGAGACCACAACGACGCCGCTCCAAGCACGGCGCCAACGACAACCCCTCCAACGATGACATCGAGGCCGTCATCCAAATGGCCACCGCCGCCGCACAGAACGACCCCCGCACCCTCCCCCTCCGCGACACCCGCACACAGCTCTTCGTCGCAAACCTCCCTTACCGCGTCCGCTGGCAGGACCTCAAAGACCTCTTCCGCCGCGCAGGCACCGTCCTCCGCGCAGACGTCTCCCTTGGTCCCGATAATCGCTCCCGAGGCTACGGGACGGTCCTGCTGGCCACCGCAGAGTACGCAGGCCGCGCCGTGGACATGTTCAGCGGCTACTCGTGGCAGGGGCGTATCCTCGAGGTCCGCGCGGACCGCGTGCACGATTTGACCAGCCGTTTCCCGAGGTGGAGGACGACTTTGCTCAGGCACAGCAGGCGCGCTGCAATTTGTTTGCATCGTAAGTATGTAATTGTAATTCAAATAAACAGTGAAAATAGAGACCCAAGAAATTGCAAGACCGTCTCAGAACCTCCAGAGCTGTGCTGTTTTGGTCAAAATCGCTTTTAGGTAACTTAAAATTGAACTCAATTTACAGCAATCTTCTCACGGTTGTGTTTTCCAAACCGTCAGTGTTGCAAAAACTGGCGCCAGAACCAATACTATCTCAAGTAGTATTATCTGACCTCTAGAAATGTATCGTAAAAAAAAAATTGGAGGGAAAAAAAAATCAGAACTGCACCATGCATGCCCTCGGTAGGATTCGAACCTACAACATCTTCAGAAGATCCCAGTTAACTTATCTAAAGAAATGAAGATGATCTACCCCGATCTACGAGGCGACTTCCCTGGGTGCATCATGGTACAATACAGTATGGTAAATGAAATTAGCGCCGCTTTCAATTTTTTTGCATCGCCCTCTTTATACAAGTGTTCAATTTCCGTACTCCGACAAGACCGTAGGACTCAATTTGGCCTTGAAAGTCACAGTACATATACTCTGCATTGCGGGCAAGTGAATGACCCAAAAGAAAATGTTCCGGAGTATGTGAGCCCGGTTGACGTGAACTGAGGGATACCAAACTGGTTTCCAATCTCGTGTCCTCCTACGTCGACCACTCAGCACGAGCCAGGTCGTCGTCCCTCAACGCGCCACGTTTACGAGACCCTGAAGCAAGAATATGCATTGTTGTGAATCTTGCTTGCCCTTTCCCTGCATTTACAAAGCCAACGCACGATTAGTAGACAAAACCGAATCCAAAACCAACAGAACCATTAATTAGATAGCAGTACGATCTTCGGGTATGCTCTACGCCTTAAATGTGCGGCCACCGACGAGGCATTTGCCTAACGAACGGTTAATTAGTCTAAGGAGAAGCATTCCGAGTCGATGCATTTACTACTGTGTACATGGAGTCAGCGTGGTGAAGCATCGATCCACCACGCTAAGGTCTGTAATAACGAAACGGTTGTCTCGAACTTCTGTTTGAGTGTAGGATGCATCACATGAGAATATTCCGTGCAGTGGTTTGTGGCATCAACGCCTTCACTGCTGCGGTGATCAAGGAAGTTCTTCGTGCATAGTACGTGAACGAAAGGCGCTTCAACGCGCCAAAGCGCGGTGTCCCCAAGAGCGTGTCCAGTACGCGCCAATCTAGCGTGGGCATGCCTACGGAGGGGCTCTGCACCCCAACAGTGAGCGCGGCGAGGCGGGGCGAGGATCCGGATAGAAACGCGAGTGTGGTCGGTAGGGCGTCCGGGTACTGCCCCGTGAGCGTTAAATGCAGAAGGCGAGGCGTGAGTGCGATGGCGCGCGCTTCGAAGGCCCTGGTCTTTGTGGGGCCGCTGATATGCCCTGTGGAATCAATCAGCGGGAGCGCCCGGCGCAAGGAAGAGACGAACCTTCCACCCCATCTACCCAAAAGGCGAGCGACAGGGACTCGATATGGGGGCCGAAGCGAGCGAAATATGTTTCGATTGGTTCTATGGGTTCGCCATTGGCGTCCCCTCCGAGCGTCAGCGACGTGAAGATGGGGGGTTCGCGGTGGGAGAGCAGCCACCGAAACAGTGCGCTGGTTCCGCGATACAGCTCGATGTCTAGTGTGTGCAGGTCTCGGGGAAGTGCGTCCGCGGGCGGAGCGATTGCGGGATACACAGCACCGTCCGGCGGACGCATTGCGGGGGTCACAATTCCAGTGTATGCCCGATCGCAGACCAGGCGCAGATGCGTGAGGAACGGCAGGCTCGATATGATATGGGTTATCACATTGAGCAGGATGTCATTTGGAAGAGCGAGTTCGAACCGGGTGAGAGAGCGGAAGCGCGGGACATGGATATGCAGGAGGGCTTCGAGGCGGAGCTCGTCATTGAGCCCCCGCCAAAAGAATTCCCGATCGCGTATGCAGAGTTCCCTGAGGGCGGGGAAACTCTGCAGTCGAGTGAGATGCTCTTCGGAGACGCGCGCGTCCGCGAGTCCCAGATGAAGAGTCTGCACGAAGGCGGATACGGGCACGGATGCGGAGTCGACGAGGGCGAGGAATGACTGAATAGTCCGCCGATGACGAAGTGTGATACAGCAAAAGAGGTGCATCCGGCTGCGGGGCAGCCATCGCTGGCAGACAGCACTACATGCGCCAACATCTTTGGTGGAAGCGACGTTGTCGATGACTAGGTCGACCAGCTCTTGGGGGAATTCTCGCATATAGCGCGCATGGAATCATCTGTTGGTTTCTTATGTACCTGGACAATCAATCGACGATCTTCATTGCACAGAGGAAAGGAGGTTCCATAACGATCCGAAAGGAGAGGCACGATTGAGACCAAGATTCGATCAAGGGATCCAGTAGCAGCAGAAAGTGGCTGAGTGAGTCGGAATGGGTGGCTCATGCTCCATAACGATCCGAAACTTGAAAGGAGAGGCACGATCGACAAGGATTCGAATGAGGAATAGAGTCAGTGAGAGTGAGTTGGAACGGGTGGCTCAAGTCGCAATAGAAGCGGATCGTTAAGTTGGTTGGACGAATATTCACGTTATGGCCATTGTGGTCGTAAGCAAGTTATGCAGTGTCGTTGTTGTACCTGATGCATAACAATCACGATGCCTTTACTTTTGCCACATAAGTTAATTCAACATTGCTGTATGTAGGTAACAGTACGATCTTGCGAGGAAAAGGAATAAAAAAGCAAAGCACGATTAGACAAAAAACCGAATCCAAAGCCAACACAACCATTAATTTAATTCAACTTCTTCTCTTCTTTTGTCCCCCCCATCTTTTCCTTGACCTTGAATCATCAAGGTCATCCGCGACCGGGCCCTGCACAATAAGCAGTCCGCGCAGCAATACGCGACCCGAAACGCGACACACGACACAGGACCGAGCGGGGACCCGCCTAGCCCGACTCAGTGCTCGTGTTCGACGGCAGCCTCAACGGCGGCGGCGGCCCGCGCCTCCCCTCGCGCAGGGGTGTCGTCGGCGCAGGCGGCGGGTCCGACGAATGCCGCCGCGGCCTCTCCTTCTGTGCACCGTCCCCCTCCTGATCCTCACTCTCCCCATCCCCCGCGTCCGTCTCCGCCTTCTCCACCACCTCCTTCTCCTCCCGGACAGCGCTCTTCTCCTTCTCCTTCTCCCTCGGCGACGACGCCTTCTCATCGCGCATAATCTCCTTCTCCACCCCAAACCCCGCCCCAAACGCCGGCGGGATGTCGAAATACCCCTTCGGCTCCTCCATCCCCATCCCGCCTCCACCTCCACTATGCAGCGCATGCATCCCAAAGAGCCCCGGGCTCCCTCCGCTCGCGTACGGCCCGCCCAAATACGGCGAATGCTGCTGCAACTGCTGCGACGGCGGAAGCGGCGACGAATTCTGCATGTGCTGTTGTTGTTGGTGCTGCTGCTGTTGGTGTCCCGGATGCGCATGAGGCGGCTGGCCCACAGGCGCGCCATACACGTTCCCCTCGCCCGCGCGCCCCCAGAAGGCGCCGGGCGACAGCGCGCTGGGGGGCCCGAGGCCGAGCCCCAGCACCTGCGCCATGCCC